TCAGTAGATGTTGTCACAAGTGTTCTTGTGCAGTCAGTTCTGTTCAGGATCGGTCAGGGGAGAACGGGTTATTCATCAATCATAATAAATCTAAATAATATGCATTGCTACTGAACAAATATTTCGGTAATATATCGGTCAATTGATTCGTCCCATTTATTTAGCTGCAGAACCAAAGGATAGGCAAGGTTTTCAGCACGAACCTTCTCGATGTCACCATGGACGAAAGTTTGCACTTCAGTGCACACGCAAAAACGGTAATCATCAAGGTATTACGGTGCAACTATTTCTTGATGTTTAACCTCAATGCTAACCCTCAAATAAATCAGGAAACCGTCCCTGAGAATCTGTGTGATTCCTGCAATTGCGTATGTTTGAGTAACTTGACCCATCGGATGCTGCAAACGGCTATGACATTCCTGCGCTTCTTATTACCGTCTGCTCCGTGAAATGTCCTTTCATTTCCGATTGCAAACCAATCCCTGTGCGAGGTATGGCTCGCAATTTGTCGATAACTGCGACACAGCTCTGTCATAGTCAATTCGTCTCTGATCTCATCCAACCGTGAAGTGTTCGATATGCATCTCGGCCATTTTTATGATGGGTTCGGCACGCTGCAAGTGATGATGCTGATCAGCCTTTTGTCTTCCCGCCTTAGAGCATTTGCGAAGCTCGGGAGTTCTGGTTTTCGAATTTCATCAGAGAAAAAGTTGATGCCAGTCTCTGTCTGATGTACTCCATCATTGCTTGTTCAAACGCATTCGTTATCTTATCAGTTAGCTTGTAGACGGGTACTCTGCGCCTACAACAGGATTCAAGCAAGCCTGGTTTCCTTCTTGTCAAGGGTAAGTGTTTGTGCGGCGTACATCGGTACTGGTCGAACAGCTGTCAGTTATACAGTCACAAGTATGGAATTTCACTCACACAGTGACAGTAGTTTTCCACGGATTTTGCCGCAGCACGTTCTACTCAGTTCTTTCCTGAACATCTGCTTCACAACTTTCATCACTAGAGATCATCGATCAAAAGTAGCAGAACTTGGTGACGTAGTGCACATTTTCTCAGTAAATTTTGCTGATATGCTCTGGAGCATTCGATGAAGCAAAGACTCGGTTTCACTCTCAGACTCTTAGTCCATAACTAGCGTCCTGAGGCATGGAGTATCACCTCACCATCGAAGTTCGCAACTGCACCCTTCATCACGGAGTCGGTGTAACAATTGAACAGCACAGTTGCTCCTGCGACCGAACTTTACACTAGTCCTAGAACGGTCTGACACTGCCAAGCGTGTTTGAACCACCGCTGACCCCCGGTGTGGATGTTTTTCAGGGTGTTAAACACTTTATAGCACATCGTCACGTAGCCGATACAGCGTTCCGCGATCTTGAAAATCGATAATTGCCTCAAAATCGACGAGGCCATTGCATAGCAGTTTGTTTTATCGATCTAGCAAAAGGCTCAATGTTAGGATGTGGCCAATAATCGATCAGCCAGCGGTCGGAAGCCACTTTGTTTTTCTCTGGCAGTATTCATTTTGCAGGCCGAATTCTGCCGACGATAATTCTTTCATAGATCTTAAGGACGTTGATGAGGGAACTAACTGCTCTTAATTTTGGGCATCAAAAAATGGACCGTTTTGTGCATCGGAACCATCGCTGCTTGGCGCCATTCTTTTGGTATTGTCTCTGTTGGCAAAATCTTCCGGATGAACTTCGTCAGCACCCCGGATCTAGTCTTAGGCATATGTTTTAACAGTTCTACGTGGACTTTGTCTGGACTAACTGCTTTGTTATTTACCTATTTTTCGAGGACATTCGTAATCTGTTCGCCGGATGGTATATCAACACTGCAGTGTTAATCAGAGGTTTTACTTCACTTGAAGGAACGAATTGTTTGAAACTGACGGGAATAATTTATCAGCTGCTGATGGGTCCTACGTGCATCCACGAACTAAGGGAAAACGGACTGGTGTTATTTCTTCCGCTGTGTTGCCCGAACAAAGAGGCTAGTCTAAAGCTGTTATATCTGAACGCTTTTTCCATAGCACCAGCTCGTTGTCGCCACAGTGTGTTCCTTTCTTCAATCAGATGGCATTTCAGTTCAATTTCCTTTGCTTTAGTCGAAACCCTCATTTTCTGTCTCTCAGCTTTTATTTCCTCATTATATATGCATCGTCGATGCACTTCTTCTCCCTTCCTAAAACGGACAAATATCGATCCTTTTTGAAAACTGTCAGCAGAGCAGATCAGCTGTCCTATATGAATGTCTTAAACATCGTGATAGTTCAGTTGCAAGAGCTACTGTAACGCTTGGTAAATCTATTACAACCGATCCTCTCCATCAGGCTCTTTAAAATGCTCTTTAAAGAGGAGTAAAGTCTTATTCTACGAGGTCCCAGTATGTTGGTATGTATGCGAGGACTGAAGCATACTGAAAATCTGTACTTTGGCAAGTGGCTGAGACTGTGCCGACTGAGTAACGGGAAAGGCGGAATCTGATCGAATGGATCCTATCATTTTGACCCACACATTTAGATTTGCGGCAGTACGAATTTTCGATCAATCAATCACTTTGCACCTCATTTTTCTCTATTTCTTATCTCACTGGTGAATATTATTTTTTGCATTAAATGCATACTGTTATACAATAGATCAATCGCACCTAAAATGTTAGTCTATGCTAGTTCCGTTAATTTAAGTAGTAAGCTCTTTCTTTTTAAATTTGTTTTTGGCAGGAGTGAATCAATCAATCAATCAGTCAGTCAATCAATGTAATGAATGACTGAACGCAGTGAGTTATGCTTCTGTCTTGCACACGAGATATTCCAGGTTCGATCCCATGGAGAGAGTACAGTTCCTCATATTTGCTGTTAGTTTCCGTGAGTAAGCAATTCTTTGCTGTGCTTTAATGCAACCAATTAAGAAAAGAAGAACAAGTCGTTAACTTGTGAATGATAAGAACAGCATGGTGCCCTAATTTGATCAAGCCAGAACGAGCAAAGGGCACGTAGCTATGCCATGCGGCCATGCTGGCTGACGCGTGGGCTTCGCTGGTGCCGTTTGCTCTG